CCTAGTTTACGTCAGTTGTCCTAATTTACGTCAGTTGTCACAGTTAACGTCAGTTGTCACAGTTTCCGACAGTTGTCACAATTTTCGTCAGTTGTCCTAGTTTACGTCAGTTGTCACAGTTTACGTCAGTTGTCATAGTTTACATCAGCTGTCACCGTTTACGTCAGTCGTCACAGTTTACGCCAGTTTTCCTAGTTTACGTCAGTTGTCACAGTTTACGTCAGCTGTCACAGTTTACGACAGTTGTCCTAGTTTACGTCAGTTGTCACAGTTTACGTCAGTTGTCACAGTTTACGTCAGTTGTCACAAATTTCGTCAGTTGTCCTAGTTTACGTCAGTTGTCACAGTTTACGTCAGTTGTCTTAGTGTACCTCAGACGTCCTAATTCACATCAGGTATTGCATCTCCTACAACACCTTCCGGAAAAAGTCAAAGCGTATTGTTAATTTAGAACGTGTAATGAGATGTACTAAGTTACCAATTAAAAGTGGTCCGATAAATCGCGACAGTTTTAATATTTATAATGAACTATGTCCAACAATCGATATTCAATGATAGACGAAAATATACGTCCTGGTATTGTTAAGATTTTTTAGGTTTTATCTGTACGTCCCTCCAGCCCGTCACATACAACTGGTATATCTCGTGGGGTCTCGGGGCACAAACTAAGGGGAGAAAATCGGCGGAGCTTCGTCGAGATAGCACTTAGAATTAATTATCGATATGGTTGTTTCAGTTGTTATAAGGATATTCAATCGTTGTCCGATGTAAGAGCCGATGTACTATACCGAACACCAATTTCCGTCACCAAAGTGTTACCGATGTTGTACCGAGATGCAGAATGAACAACAGTATCACATCACTAAGAGCAGGACAACGATGAAACATCGGTTCCAGTACGTAAAACCGGAGAGCCATTACGGAGACTCCTCTCCCACCTCCCATACTTACATTAACGACCCAGCATTCAATTAACATTAACGAACCCATGCCGATAGTACTCCCTTTGTAATCCCCGCGCCGTGCGCCAGCAGACACCTTCGCCTGCCAATGCTAAATTTGTCTCCAATGTTCAGACGATGTAGTACTGTTCTATGTGGTACCGTTGTGCTGCCGTACTAATTCCGATCCCCAAAAATCGACAAGTTTGTGCTCCGGTATGGCTCCGGCGAGCCAAATCGCCTTGGTGTCGCATAGCTAGATATGTTTCCAAGGTTACCTTGTGGTTAACGACAAGGATTATATGCGCTTGTACTTTATATTTTTAAGCAACTGGGTTTTGTAATAAAACAATATTTGAAAAAAAAATTGAAGCGTAGGAAATAAAGGATACTATATATTTTGTTAATAATTTTGTCCTCAGTCACAGTAATATGTGAAACAAGAGTTCATAATGTTAAAATATTTTGTACACCATGTCGGAATTTTATACATCAGTAAATAAAGGGTTATACTATAGCATCACTGAAGAGCTGAGTACTTCAAAACCAAGTAATATGTTCAATGAATGTAAACACAGCTATATTGTCTTGAGCACTCTCTCCGAGGACACCGAGGAAAGTGGTCAGCCCAGTGAGTCTCTTTAACCAAGCGAGGTGCTCAATGTTATCATAGCTATATTGTCTTGAGCACTCTCTCCGAGGAAAGTGGTCAGCCCAATGAGTCTCTTTACATTACACATTCTGTTAATAACACTAGGATTTCATCATGTTAAGATACAGGATATATCAGTTTGGTCTAAATTCCCTCTTATTGATTTGTATCTTGGTTTTCACACACAAATACAGAGTGATACGGGACATCTTCTTCCCTAAACACTTATCGTTAATACATGTAGGTTCCCCTTGGATGAGTGTATTGTACTTTTTGGGACCAGAACATTAAGATGGCTAAGCTTCGATAGATCGTTGTCATATTTCATATGTAGGTTCCCTAGGTCCCCAGTTGCGCATTGTTTATCGTTTTTGGATGATCGGAATGTCATTCTCAAGCTTTGTATATCAGTTTTCATAGTGTAATGACAAATCACGTGCACATTTTAGAGTATAGAGAAAATATCTATCTTATATTGAACGCTTGGTTGGCACTACGATCTCCTGCAGACCATCGTTTTAACGTATAACCGTAACCACAATGTCGCTCGCGCGCCGGAAATACATGCGAATTTATATTGGTGTTTTTATATTGATATATAGTTTTCCGAAATGAAATGTTTATAATGTGACGTGTAGATTTACATAAGTAAGGACTTTCTTATGGTTCCAGACAAGTAACACGATTTCACGTTATCTGCAATGACCTCGACCTTGGTGCACGTGCATCAAGATGATTCCGTTTGCTCTAGCTTGATAGATCATATTTAAAATTAGATATGAATGATATTTATGAGGGAGACAATTATGGTTGTATGATGTACTCTTTTTCTTAACTCATAAGAACAATCACGTGATACTGTATTATTCACAATAATCCTTTAGGTATTCTGTCGACTTTTGAGTTATGAAAACTCGAGCAGTCGATGTTATGGTGTGTACACATGGAAAATGTACTCGATCACTCCCGCGCGCCGTGACGTCAGTATTTGCCACGTGCACGCCGGTAGTAATGGAGCGATCAACAAGGGGCGGTGTTGTACGGGTATCTGGGAGAAAGTAGGTGTTTACGGAAGTGGAATGCTGGCTTTCGTCAATAACAGTGTATAGGGGGTCTTGTTGTCTGGGCACATGCAAATTATACAGTGCAATAAACCTACCATAGTGGTTGGTGATATCTCTGATGGCGAACTTTTTATTGGGGGACGTCACCGGGGCTTGTAGTTCCGTATTCTAGGTATTTGACGTCAGGGGCAAGGGCAGATTTATGACACTTAACCCAGATACAATGTACCCGTTTTCAGTCTAGAACATAGAACTTGTGAGAAAGGGATGAGGTTGGGGTGAGGGTGTGTGTTTGTCGTATTTCTGGGTGTCTTCACGTGTGAAGTCTTCTATTAAACATCTCAGTGTTATGAATATGAACGGAAAGGGAATTGTTATGAGGATAAAACCGGAACTGAGGATACGAAGCCTTGACATCTGAAAAACCAGTCCTTTATTTTTTTTATGTTTCTTTTCACATTATTTGCCCTTATTTACAACAATTCAGAGTCCATCCCAAATATCTCCATGTTCCAAATGTACGCTTTGTTATTTGGTCGATCTGGGGATCGAACCTGGGACCTCCGCACTAGTAGCTATATTTTAGGCATCCCTAGACGAATCGGACGCTTCAGACGAAATTTGGACGTATGAGACGAGATTTGGACGCATTAGACAAAAATTAGATACACGGACGAAATATGCGATGCCTTAAATATGGCTACTTACTTTTCCGACGGACATTTTAAACATGTTTTCCACCTGGTCTCTACATTTGAAATCACAAAATTCCACTGTCGATACAGTAATTATGTCACTGCAAATCAAAGGAAAAGGGATAGATGGCATTTGATCTGTGAAAGACACGCAACGATTACAAAGAGACTACAAACCCCAAATGAATTACGTTTTACACTAAAACTCTCGTGTGGTATCTTACATCCTGTCTAAAAGAAATTACAAGTATGTACAAATCTCGTGCAGGTTCCTGACAAGACAATCCATAACGTGCACGATGTATGATCATGTCCTTCGATTTCTCGACATCTTATTGGACTGCATTGACCTTCTCTGTGCTCGGGATTTTTTTTATCGTAACGTTACAAGTCTAAGGACCCTTTTCAAAAAGTTGAGATTAACAAAATTCTAGGTTATCTGAAAGATGTTGGTCTGTACTATAGATTTTGACTTACAATTTCAATCTATTGTGATGATATAACCATTTAAGGTTTTTTAACATTTGTCTTTTACCTTTTGGTTTGTTTGATGTTATTTCCGTTTTGGATCGCTGTATGTTTTACTAGCTAGTTGATGGACCTAATGATCTTTTATGTGTTGACGGGCCGTTAACAATGTCGCGATAATGATGATAATAATAATAATTCTCTGTTTCAAGGGTGAAAGTACAACTATGTAAATTGACAGAACCTTTTGATTTCTGAGATGTGACGAAACTGTTCTTTCACCGGTCCAGTTTCGGAACATGTTGACGTTCAGGCGAGGATGTCCGAATCTACCAACCTACAAACCTGTCGATAATATTGATTTATATTAGGATTTCATTTCATTCTAAACTGTTTCGATTTCTTTATGTTCATGAGATCGGTTGAAGATGAGTTTCTCATAGTACGTCGTGTTTATGTTTTTATCTACTCATCAAACAACAAATTTGTATTTGAGTAAATTTATTTACGCTTCAACTGATTTATTGATTTATTTTTGAGTGATTGATTGATTTTTGCGACTCTGCATTGCAGCGTGTTCTGACATTACACCTGGTTGAATGCAATTTTAGGAAATAGAGTAAAAAAACGCTTTTCTGATTGTAGGCTTTAGATAAGTTGAAGAACTGGTAAGGGTTGTCTCCCTTGCCCCACTTTTGTTCATCGATTGCGCGCATAATGTTTTATGTGCGAAAGGTGGTTCCTAAAACTGCAAAATTACTATTTCCTATATTTTTGCTGTTTTTGCTAAAATAGAAATGATAAATTGAGAGAAAAAACATAACTGTAATAAATATCGATTTATTTTCTTGGTGTTCCAGAGATGTATTTACTATGCGAAACAGTGTGTGTACTCCGTATGTACAGTCTGATAGCACTAATCATTTGTGTATATACTCATAGCAGGTTGTTGGTTCTAGTAGTTCTGTACAAAACGGCTAATACACCAAGTTCCGAGCCGTACTGCGTGCGAGTACTCTCCACTACTGTAGCGGCTAGGCAATATAGTTTATAAGTCGACCAATCAGGATGGGGTGGGCGTGGCTATAAGTTCTCTATACTTGGTGTACTCAAAATGATGGGTTTGTAGTATTGGGTGTGTAACGGGATGATCGGCCAGGATTGACCATGTGCAATTACGATGGCTGTGGTTGTGCGGTCCAAAATCCGTGTAAACTTTTTAATGTTGACATTCTTACGACTTGTGATAAACTGTCGACCAGAGACGGAACTGGACTACCGGCAAAACGGTCAGTAATTTTCTAATTGATTGCATTTTATCATTTAAATCTAGCCATTTGATTTTGAAATTGTGTTTTTATTTTATTTGTTCAATGATTTCTTGTTTTATTTGTAATAGATGCGAGGGATGCTGGGGAGGTTGTGCACCCTGTTCGTTTGAATGCAGCGAGTAATAATCAACATGTCATTCACAAAAGGGATATTAATTTTAACACAGATAATCTCAACGAACAAAAAGTGTTGTACATGTTCCCAGCCTACGGAAGGCAATTTTTATTTGACTTGAGTTTTACTAAGGATTTCATTTCGTCTGAAAATGTTTTAGTAGAGAAACATGAAGGCAACTATACATGGAGTGAGGAAGGATTCGAGGACAATTTGGAAAACTGTTTTTATACTGGAACAGTTAACAATGACAGTTCCTCCAGAGCTGTATTCAGCCTGTGTGATGGCATGGTAAGTCTATAGGATTTTGTTCAGCCTATTGATGGCATTGAAGGACGAAAGGCTTGTATTCAACCTACATTATGACTTAGTAGATTCAGAGGCTTGTGTTTAGTCGAATAAGTAAAGCTCACGTGAGGGCACGATAAAAGTTTAGTCTGTTTGTGACAGAATAGGCATATAGGCTTGTGACATAGTAGGCATATAGGCTTGTGACAGAGTAGGCATATAGGCTTGTGACATAGTAGGCATATAGGCTTGTGACATAGTAGGCATATAGGCTTGTGACATAGTAGGCATATAGGCTTGTGACATAGTAGGCATATAGGCTTGTGACAGAGTAGGCATAAAGGTTTCTGACATAATAGGCATAGAGGCTTGTGACAGAGTAGGTATATAGCCATATAGGCTTCTGACATAATAGGCATATGGGCTTGTGACATAATAGGCATATAGGCTTGTATTCTTACTACCTGGTGGAATAACAAATCTGTATCCTCAAGTTTATACGATGACATGTTAAATCTACATGCAAGAAAGTTTGCGTTCAATTTGTTTGATGACATACAGAACTGCAGTAAGTTTTCAGCCTGGACGGTTATCTACACAGCACGTGTATAGTTATCTTGGTAGAGTTAGTGTATAAGCATATTTTCTATCAATGTCCCGATTTACATATTGTTGGATATCTCTTAAATTTAAAACAAAGATGATGTAACAATTTCTGTATAAATATTGTATACTGGTGTTCCAGTTTTATAAAGTTGTAAAGAGAAGTTGTAAAACACTTGACTCACTCGTTTGACGGGCTTCTGTTTGTAGTATTTACTGCCTGATAGATGGTCGTCTTACTTAACGAACTGACAAATCACTTGTATAAAACAACAGCACTTTCAGACAACATGTTAGTACAATACGCTTTCTTCTTGTCCGTCTCAATGTAATGTCTCGTGGTCAAGGAGATTCCGCGACATTTTCAGCTCTCTGTCCGCATAACTATAATTAGGGTCCGTAACTGCAACGATCGACGGGACTAAAAAGGGACCCATTGACGGCCGAAGTGCGGATTTTGTTGTCCCGGTATCGGTTGAATTGAAGCACCAAGTAGGATTTGTCCTCGGTATAAGATCCTGTGAACGTCCATGTCCTATCTACACGAGCTGCGAACTTTGCCTTCATTGCGTATGAGGTAACAGAATTTTATTTGTTCTGCGTAATCAGCTTTTTCTCGTGAAACGGTACATCAAACGCCCCGATTATAGATTATCACGTACATAATCGCCTCGGCCATGCATCCTATGATATAAGTATCGATACTGCCGGTGTAGGTGACGACCGCCGGAACACTTGAGAGAGGCCACGGGAATCTTTATCAAATACATTATGGATGCATTAAATAGTTAAGTAGTTATAGAACTTCGTAAAAATGCGTCTTATAAGCTGAGTCAGCAGTATTCTATAGGGTTTCCTCTTAGACACAATATAAACACGAGTTCACTGATAGCCAGCAGCCCCAGTTACGAACCACCGACTGCTAAACCGCGCGTGTGCACGTGGGGCAGGTGTATATACCGTTATGTATGTTGTATATGATGAATCGTGGATTACCTACATGCGTAGGAAATGATAACTTTCTAATTTTAGTTTGTATATATACTTTTTGGAAACCCAGAGCTGGCTTACATACGAGTGTAAAATATGTATAGCTAGCCTTGCTCGGCCAAATACACCGTAAACTGAGGATCCTTTCCAAATGCGAGGTATGTTTGATACGAGCAAAGGTTACGCGAAATGTGCATCCCTGTTAGCGATACGTCTGCACGCGGGAAACCTGCGCGTGATGCAGGATAAAAGCTTCAGGGAACATTTCCTTCTACCTGAACGGGTGATCTGTAACCTTACAATAGAATTAGTTAGTGAAAGGGGTTTAACGAGAAATCGTCAACGATAACTAATGTTGGTGATAATGTAGGCTTATCTTAGAGAGCGTGGGCACGTGTAGTGGCCTACTAAATCATGAGGTAGGACTGGAGATGTTCGTCAGTACCCATCTATACCCTGTGTACAGATTACATACCCATGTGTTCATCGTCTAGTGTTAAAACATATCTCTTTAGGTACCAGGCCAACTGACCAATTCTTTATTATTTTGAACACGTGCTAGTATTTTGGACCTCCGCTTTGTACCATTGCTTGGACGCCGAGTAACGTCGTTCTTCCTTACTCGGAACACATGGGCTGTCATATTCTTAAAGACAATGACTAGGTACTTGAACTCAGCTGATCGGATTTATTAACGGTGGCAGACCGAGTAGCTTCTGCGAGAGGCACGCCGTCGAACAATTAAACTGTCAGGAAGGCAACAGTCGGTAATCCCGACTCAAGACCCTGTATTGAGTTCGACATTACTACAGCCCTAAATGTTCACGATTTCCGTATATTAAAAGACCTCTTTAGAACAATGCAACGAATTCCTTCCTACAGTAGCTGATGACACAGGACGACCTACCAAGACTCGACTCTGGTGGCACTCGTCGGTCGTCAGTGTGTTTTGAATTCATTTCTTAGCTGAACGTCCCGTGTCAAAACAAACCTGATGCATGAGTAAGACATTAAATACACAACAGATGTCCAGTTGGTCTGTCCAGACCGGACGAAAACTGACCTGACGCTGGACGTTAACGAGCACAAGACAAACGTACCTGTCTCATGTGTGTAGGAGGGAGGGAAGGTGTAGAGAAGGCCAGGCCAGGTGACAATGTGATGTGTACTGGGTAGTTCGGGGACCGCATTCCGCATACACATTTTTCACACTTAAACTGTGCTGTTGGTGACCACCTACCAAATGACTCTACACATCGGTTAGTTGGGTTAATTTGTAACGTATTGTCTGATTGATTAGTGAGAGCTCTTGATTATGTTAGTGAGATTACTGTGGGTTATCTTGCAACACCATACCTGATAGGTTAGTGAGAGCTCAGTATCAAGTTGAATGTAACACCGTATCTGATAGGTTAATGAGAGTAACACCATGCCCGATAGGTTATTGAGAGCTCAGTATCAAGTTGAATGTAACACCATGCCTGATAGGTTAGTGAGAGCTCAATGTTAGGTTGATTGTAACACCGTATCTGATAGGTTAGTGAGAGCTCAGTATCAAGTTGAATGTAACACCGTATCTGATAGGTTAGTGAGAGCTCAGTATCAAGCTGAATGTAACACCATGCCTGATAGGTTAGTGAGAACTCAGTGTTAGGTTGATTGTAACACCATGCCCGTTAGGTTAGTGAGAGCTCAATGTGAGGTTGACTGTAACACCGTATCTGATAGGTTAGTGAGAGCTCTGTATCAAGTTGAATGTAACACCGTATCTGATAGGTTAGTGAGAGCTCTGTATCAAGTTGAATGTAACACCGTATCTGATAGGTTAGTGAGAGCTCAATGTTAGGTTGATTGTAACACCGTATCTGATAGGTTAGTGAGAGCTCAGTATCAAGTTGAATGTAACACCGTATCTGATAGGTTAGTGAGAGCTCTGTATCAAATTGAATGTAACACCGTATCTGATGATTGTAACCAGGTCTGATGAGTTAGTGAGAGCTCAGTATCAAGTTGAATGTAACACCGTATCAGATGATTGTAACCAGGTCTGATGAGTTAGTGAGAGCTCAGTATCAAGTTGAATGTAACACCGTATCTGATAGGTTAGTGAGAGAGTATCAAGTTGAATGTAACACCGTATCAGATGATTGTAACCAGGTCTGATGAGTTAGTGAGAGCTCAGTATCAAGTTGAATGTAACACCGTATCAGATGATTGTAACCAGGTCTGATGAGTTAGTGAGAGCTCAGTATCAAGTTGAATGTAACACCGTATCTGATAGGTTAGTGAGAGCTCAGTATCAAGTTGAATGTAACACCGTATCAGAGGATTGTAACCAGGTCTGATGAGTTAGTGAGAGCTCAGTATCAAGTTGAATGTAACACCGTATCAGATGATTGTAACCAGGTCTGATGAGTTAGTGAGAGCTCTGTATCAAGTTGAATGTAACACCGTATCAGATGATTGTAACCAGGTCTGATGAGTTAGTGAGAGCTCTGTATCAAGTTGAATGTAACACCGTATCAGATGATTGTAACCAGGTCTGATGAGTTAGTGAGAGCTCAGTATCAAGTTGAATGTAACATCGTATCAGATGATTGTAACCAGGTCTGATGAGTTAGTGAGAGCTCAGTATCAAGTTGAATGTAACACCGTATCAGATGATTGTAACCAGGTCTGATGAGTTAGTGAGAGCGGAATATGAGGCGTGATGCCAGTTGTATAATACGTCCTTTCTGTCGTAATCTGGAGGGCTGATGCATATCTTTCTCCATACTACACGGCTCGTATGTAAAAACTGATCAGTCAAGGTGTGACGCCGCATTTTTACACGGGCTGATGAGAGGGAGGGGTTATAACAGACTTGTTACATGCTAGACCCAACTAATTACATGTTTGAGGTACATCACTGCTTTCGATTACGTCATATCGCGGAAGACTAGCAATCTCCCGTCGTGATACAGGGACCATTCCATGTTACCGGGCAGTAATAATGTGAACATTGTAAACAGATCTTAGCGTGTCGTCACGGATAGAAGGCCATAAAGACTGCACTCGACGGGCGCGCTAACCTCGCGCTTGTTTGTAAATAATTATGTAAGTGTCGGTGTTGGTAGGTGTAAACTGTTATTTATAATACGTATGATGACAAATTATTATCACTAAAGTATTACTCCAAACGTTCTTTGACTTGGTGACGGAGTGACAATTTCGACAACAAGGTAACGGACCTTGGCTTATAAATATGCTTACATTGGCTGTTCATTCCTCGCTGACGAGTCACTGCAACTGTAGGATAACCATGTTGTAAAACGTTCTGCAATTATTTGCGTAAGGTTAATCCTTCGTGATTGCCACCTTGTAATGCGCTGTCTAGTCACCGACAACACGCCGTAAAGTGGGCCGTATGGATGGGAGTGATGTAACCGCTAACACACACAGGTGTATAACGATAATCAGTGGTAGAACCGACTCGATAACTAAACACTGACCAGAACTGACCGATAAGGACACTACATCGCCAACGGGAGGGTAGTTAGTGAAGATGAGACTTTAGCCATTAGGTTGTAAAGATAACACGGACATAGCGTGCGGTATTGTGATGGAGCTTGTCAAGTCCCGATGGCTTAGTATGATAGTACATGTTCAGCCTGGTGATGTAAAACGCCGTGTTCGCGATGAATACTGTCAAATTCACTAATGTTGTCGATGACTATCACAACACGTTTGTTTGTATGTATATGTGTGCCGATATCGGTTATTGTGTGAGGTCATTAGAATCCATTTTAACGACCGTCACCAGATCTGTCTGTCTGAGTGTGCAGAGGAAACACAAACCTGTCGGTACAAAACGCAACACACATATCTTTCAAGCGAGTTTTAAAATAACATCTAACAATGCCCACAGTACATATTATATGCCACTTTTTTCAGAATAATTATAATATTAGTGCGATCAACACCCGACCTCCTTCAAGACAACACAACAAAATCGTAACGTCACGAGGTCGCGTCTATGACGTCATAAGTGTAACGATTTACGTAGGACCCACTATTAATCAAGTTCTACACCGTTACAATTATAGATGGTAGCTTTGTACCAATACACATAAACCAGAAAAATATTCCGAAGAAATATTGGCGTTTTGGCCTAGATAAAAACGAGTTCAGTAGAGCATTAGGGTGTTGAGAGGATAGCTCTCTGGCCCAAGGTTTGTTGCCTACTGGGAGGGGAGGGCAAGCCTGAAATCTAATGCATACCAGCACAGCTCTTGTTTACATACCTGTTTCATCAGCAGATTCTCTTGAATTGGGTCCAGACTTTGGATTTAATACTGTGTAACAACATTACAGCAAATATCGTTACTGTTATATACATCAAAACTAAATAGCTTATTGCTTTCAGTCCTCCTTGATAACTGACATTACTAGAGAGAGAGAAAATGTTTCACGGAATAGAGGAGTTGATCAATAGCAGCAGGACTTTTCAGTTAAGAAACACACAGATAATATCCATTCAGACCATTTTTGAAGGTGCTTCCGACCTCTATTCAAAGCTTTCTCTACTGGAGTCGTTTCATTTTAGACGTCATTAATATTAGTACCCATCCATCTATGAGAAAATTTCTCTGCTTAAGTTAAAGGCTAATTTAACCAGAAAGAAAACCGCAATGAATGAATTGTAACAAATGGTGTTTGTTGGTGGATGTGTCAGCTCCAACAGCTCACAACTTATACAAAACACCAATAGTTCTAAGATGTGATAACCTACCCAACAAACTTGTAGTACCCAGAGGTCATGACCTATCAAAGAAGAAGCTGATAGTACCCAGAGGTCATGACCTACAAAGAAGAAGCTGGTAGTACCCAGAGGTCATGACCTATCAAAGAAGAAGCTGATAGTACCCAGAGGTCATGACCTATCAAAGAAGATGCTGGTAGTACCCAGAGGTCATGACCTACAAAGAAGAAGCTGGTAGTACCCAGAGGTCATGACCTATCAAAGAAGAAGCTGATAGTACCCAGAGGTCATGACCTATCAAAGAAGATGCTGGTAGTACCCAGAGGTCATGACCTATCAAAGAAAATGCTGGTAGTACCCAGAGGTCATGACCTATCAAAGAAGAAGCTGATAGTACCCAGAGGTCATGACCTACCAAAGAAACTAGGAGTACCAAAAGGTCATGATTCATCCCAGAGACTTAGTACCAAGAGGTCAAATGACTTACCAAAAAGACTGTTAGTACTCTGAGGTCATAAGCTATTAAGAGAATGGCAGAACACAGGTCATGACATATCCAAGGAAATGTTAGTGATTCAAAATCTCTGATAGGAACAAGAGTGTTACTGCTAATGGCAGAGATTCTATTTGCCAGCGACAAAACGTCTTATCTAATAGCAACAGAGAGTCTTTCTGATAGTGACAAAGAGTCTTTCTGATAGTCTTTCTGATAGCAACAGAGAGTCTTTCTGATAGTGACAAAGAGTCTTACTGATAGTGACAAAGAGTCTTTCTGATAGTCTTTCTGATAGCAACAGAGAGTCTTTCTGATAGTGACAAAGAGTCTTACTGATAGTGACAAAGAGTCTTTCTGATAGTGACAAAGAGTCTTTCTGATAGCAACATAGAGTCTTTCTGATAGTGACAAAGAGTCTTTCTGACAGTCTTTCTGATAGCAATAGAGAGTCTTTCTGATAGCAACAGAGAGTTTTCTGATAGTGACAAAGAGTCTTTCTGATTTCTGATAGAGACAAAGAGTCTTTCTAATTTCTGATAGAGACAAAGAGTCTTTCTCATTTCTGATAGAGACACAGAGTCTTTCTGATTTCTGATAGAGACAAAGAGTCTTTCTGATAGAGACAGAGTTCACGTTATAAAGAAAGAAACATGTTAAAAAGCCTTTTAAGAAATTTGAAAACATTTTCAAATCTTATTTTGATATTTGCGCAAACATTTGTCTTTTGTAGATAGTTCTGTGAGAAATTATTGCTATCTTTGAACTTCTGTGTTTCTGTCTTCCAGTCAGGTATGTTTGATGTGCAGGGAGAGCGGTATACCCTCGAGCCATGCTCCTCTGCTGAGGGGTGCTATCACACCAGCAATAAGGGTGATATCAAACCTCACTTCATCTATAAACATTCTTCATCATTTAAAAAAGATGCTGACGAATCTCACTGTGGATTAGAAGGTAAGGAATTTGACCAAATTTTGTTTGTAGCAAACATTTACACCACAGAACATGCAGGTTTCCAATAACATTATAGCACATATTTCTACCAATCACTGTACAGTATACACATTTTAACCAATCATAATATATCTTGCATATGTCAACCAATCACAACAAGGTCAGGTTTTTGCATGTTTTCATCCCAAGTTCGTATTAACATTGAAGTGGAAGAAACATTATTGAACTGTGCCATTGTCATTCTGTTCTATTTGTGAATTTATTAATAATTGGAATGAAAGGCATATTTTTTATCAAAGGAAATGAATATGTGGTAGCACTTATTGATTCATAGGTAAAATATTTCAAGTAATAATTTCATGTAAAACGAGACGGTTAGAATGTTTGGAAAACAATGAGCTGAGAAAGGGCTACTGAAATGGGCCACAGGTGACTGAACAGATCTCTTTGTTGCTTTTTGCTGCAATTTTTCCATTTTCAGTGTCATGCAGTGAAAATATGTAATTTGAAGCTGAGTTTTTGTGTTTAGAATAAAATTGTTTACATGATAAACTGATAAGTTTACATGTACAACAATACAGATTTAGGATCAAAAGGTATGGAATGATGGTATTTGATTTCTGTGGACTATAGTTAATACAGTTTAATTGGATTCGGTACAAAATATCATTAAGATGCCTCGGTAGGTTTTGGGGACACATGTGTTTCCGTGTAAATGGCCGAGGTGTTGGAATATGGATGTTTCTACAATAAGTTTTTTGATAGGGCACTACAAATCTCCTAAACTGTAATTGTTTGGAAAGTTAAAGGCCATTTTGATGGGAGTTACACCAGGTACAGTGAAGTGAACCATGAACCTCAATGGATACCCGATCAGTAATACATTTATTGAGAGAATGATTATCAGTGGTGTATAGGAGTCGTTCACGATCTGTAGGATTGAGCTTAATTATAGTAGTATTAAATTGGGTCATTGTTTTCTGGATGTGAAAACACTTGTACTGCTGGTCAATTTGGTAGGTAAAGCTGTGGTGCTTGATGGTACCTGGTACTGTTAGTTGACGCAATATCGGAGTCAGATTGAGCATAACATCAACAAACACCATTGGTCAACTAGCCAGTGGACTGTACAGAGATCCGTTTCTATCGGATACAGGAGCAGTCCCATCGCTACCACTGACCGTAAGTGGACGACCATTGAGCCACTGACCGTAAGTGGTGGGGACAACCAATGGGATTTTTTCCAGTTGTACAGACAGGCTTGTGTTCTGTCTGTCCATATTTATCCAGATCATACAAGGCTGTGTGGAAGTTTTAACCACAAGTGGAAGTTGTTGATGTATTTTTTCTTGTTAGCCTAAATTAGCCACTTATCTGTCACTGTAGCCACAAGTGTATACCCAGGAAGTGTAACACAGTACACCATAGGGAGTGAACCATAACATCTAAATAAAATAAACAATCCTAAAGATCAGACATTGTATCAGACACTTTCCTGTTTATTTAAATGATCCAATATGGGTAGCATTCCCAATCAGAATTCTAAAATTTTTCCAATTCAGACAATTTTTTTCCAATCAATCTGAAACATCATAGATATTACTAAATCTTCCCAATATGGTCTCCAGTGGAAACTTCCAAACTGGTTACAGAAAGTCCAGGCTTAAAAGCAATTTGACTTCAAAATATTACTAAATCTTGCCAAAATGGACTCCAGTGGAAATTTCCAAATGGTTACAGAAAGTCCAGACTTGTAATGTTGGTGTTGATGTTTGATAATTAATTGTTTGTAACTGGTATTTCTCTGTAATCATCACATCAATAAAGCACCAGTACATACTAACCAGCGACCCTCTAGGTGGGAGGTTGTCAAGCCCCATTAGGGAACACAAACAAACCAGTAAATGAGTTCATACCTTAGGACAGAAAAGATACATAAACTTTAATCAAATTGAAATTTCAATTCTCAAAAGATTTTTTTCCATTTTCTAGTTAGGTTCATTTAATGGCCAAAAGAAAAGTTGATTGATTTTGCTAATTTAACTGAAATCAGAAAGGTGAATATAGGTAATTGGTAAAACGGATTTTCTTTGAAGTACAGGTGCAAAATATTCATGAAGCAATTGCGTTATTGGTAGAGTCCTGGTGAACTTTAAGTACTCTGCTGGTGTATTTTATAGACTAGGACAGATACTGTGTCCAAGCAATGGTGTGGATAGAATTATAAAGATCTTGACCAGGTGATTCACTGACCTCAGCTGGTCATTTACTTTCACTAGATGTAATGGATATGGGTCAGTATACACATCTGTGTATTTCCTGATCAGGTCAACTAATTCTACAGTTGACATTTAATGGTAGAATTATTTTTTAATGTTAATCCATAATTAATTTTATTTTCAAACATCCAGAGGAATGCTGGCCAGATTTCAAACAGCTTACGGGAGAATTAAAGTATATTTAGTACGGTAATTGATTTGGTGTATTATTTGAAAGTTGATTGTGTCCGTGTGTTGAATTCTACACCTTTCACTGTGTGTGGTTCAACAGCACATTATGCTTGTCACACAGAAGGTCAGAGCTAGCCACAGCATGCGAGTATTGTATTTATTTGTTTTTGTTTATAGGGGCTAGTATATCTCAAACTGATGGAGTTCTTCAATGAGAGCAAATCAGGCATTTCTCTACCTTAAACAAAGATCTACATTATCCTACACCAATACATTATTATACAAAGACTTACATTATCCTACATCAATACATTATTATACAAAGATCTACATTATCTTACATCAATACATTATTATACAAAGATCTACATTATCCTATCAATACATTATTATACAAAGACTTACATTATCCTACATCAATACATTATTATACAAAGACTTACATTATCCTACATCAATACATTATTATACAAAGATCTACATTATCCTACATCAATACATTATTATACAAAGATCTACATTATCCTACATCAATACATTATTATACAAAGACCTACATTATCCTACATCAATACATTATTATACAAAGATTTACATTATCCTACATCAATACATTATTATACAAAGATATACATTATCCTACATCAATACATTATTATACAAAGATCTAAATTATCCTACATCAATACATTATTATACAAAGATCTACATTATCCTACATCAATACATTATTATACAAAGATATACATTATCCTACATCAATACATTATTATACAAAGATCTACATTATCCTACATCAATACATTTATACATTATTATACAAAGATCTACATTATCCTACATCAATACATTATTATACAAAGACTTACATTGTCCTTCACCAATACATTTATACATTGTTATATAATTATTTCATTATATTGATACCTTATTTTATGTTAATATACATTGTTACACGTTTTTTGTTACACAATGATATTCTACACTGTATATTATATTGACTTTGTACATTACAAACAGTATACAATGATATACATTACATATATATCATTTATTCATCATATTATCATATAAGAAACAAACCGTTTCACATTGTTGTGTTAACCATATAGTATGTCTACTGGTTGTGTATGGCTGATGTAGTCAGGGTCACATACGTACATGGTTGTATGTTGGGAACACATTGTTGATCAGACAAGTAATTACTAAAGACATTAATAATTACCGAGGCGAGTAGAGGAGCCTTGCTTATAACTGTAGAATGTGGCTGGCCTTGCTCTCAACACATAGTTAGGATGGTATTTCGGGGAGTCCCTGTCGGGTCATCTCACAATGGTTCCAATCTCACTATCTTGTCTGCATCTTCGGGATATGTAACATGAAGGGAGGCTCACAGCTATATATATTGGTGACAGAAATAAAGAAAAAAACCCAAAAATCTGACCAATCACAGATACATGAAGGACCAGTACCGCATAGAAAAAACAAAAGACACGGAAACCGATGATGTACATAGCCATTATCTGGGGGATGACATGTTTTAAGGGTGTATACAAGGGAATCACATGGAAACCCTTGGATTTTGAAGATGTAGACAGCTTTAGCATCTATTTTCACTTTGATATTTGATAAGTGTTTGATAGATCACATGTTTTTCTTGACACAGATTTTGACTTGAACTATTGTACAGTTAACCCCAACTGGAGTCATCAGTCCTGTGTTATATACCTCTCTGTGTTCCTAAAACCAACACACACTCTATTGTCAGCGGAATCATGGATGAATTAATTCAGAGACCTGTTTAAAAGAAATCCCAGGACATTTGTATTTTTTTATTTGAGAGATGTATATAGAATGTCTTGTGTGAAGTGTAGAGGGATGATCTCATTGTTTTACAGACATGACTGGGTGGTTTGTCCCTCGGGGTGACTACACATACACTTTGAAGTATAATATGGTAGAATGGTTGTATGTCTCCAACATCAAACAACTACCAATGATAACAAATATGTAGAATGTTACAAGCACTTGGCTGTTAGCACTCATTTAGTATTGAGACAACGAATTATTGAATGCTCCGTTCCATTACAATATTTGGCTAAATCTATTATTGTCTACTTTAGCACCACTTAGTACCTAGATGGGTTAGATATGTAGACATTCTGAAGCCACATAGTGGAGATTACTGGCCTATTATCAAGTTTGGCGTACTATGTGTGTAGGTACCAGTCTGTGAGATGGGCACACCGTGTTGGGACGACCCTCTTGTTTCTGTTACACATCCACAGGGACATCGCTTTGTCCCTCAGTCAGTCTGACATCTTATCAGGGCTAACTTGTCCCTATAAGAACCAATCAACCTTAATTTAAATGATATCTTACGGCCCTGTTTTACTGTTGACAGTCGTGGAATTTTAATCAGATTGCTGTGGATTTATGGGGGTTCATTATCCGGGGTCATCAGAGCTTCAGTCCACACTTGACATCATTTCCAGGTGGGGCAGTTGTCTGTCGCCCCTCTCACAAGAAAGGAAAGTAGAGATTGGGATA